CCAAAATTGTTGTACAATATTTCAACAATTTGCTTGACTTTTGTTACTTGTGCCGCGATTATAGAAACACAGCTTGCCTTTGTCAGGGAATCGCTTGTCCGATTTAGGAATTAAAATATCGGTCAATTAGCTTCGTTCCGGTTCTCAAGGTGAGCTAATTGTAGACAAACCACTGTAGCACCAACGCCCACTCCACCGCCTAAATATGTAACTAGAAACAGATATACAAGCAACGTTTTATAGCAGGTTCATCCCGTTGTTCCACAAAACCACTTTCAAAAGTATTGACATCTATACTAACGGCTGTTAAAGAGGGTATTCAAAAATACTGTGACAAAATATACTCTCGTAGTGGTATAAATCAAATGTGGATATTGAAAAATTCCAAAGAATTACTTGATGGTTTGCAATCTAGATTCCTTGCTTCAGTCTCATCTATTCAAACGTTTGACTTTTCTACTTTGTACACTAAAATTCCCCATAGTAAATTAAAAGCCCGGTTGAAAGACATTATTCACAGTGTCTTTTCGTCTAAATCAGGTACTGCGAGATATCAATATTTAGTTGTAAATTACAATTCCACATATTTCGTTAAGAATCACAGTGATTCCATAAACAAATTCACGGCCATCAAGATAATTCAGATGTTGGATTTTTTAATTGACAACATCTTTGTTGAATTTGGAGGGGAAATATATCAGCAAGTGGTTGGCATTCCCATGGGCACCTTTGCTTGCTGATCTGTTTCTCTATTCGTACGAAGCCGATTACATACAGACGCTCGTAAAAACTAATAAACTTTTTAATTTCACTTATCGATATATCGATGACGTTTTATCACTTAATAATCCTAAATTTAGTGATTATGTAGAATTCATATATCCTGATGAGCTCGAAATTAAAAACACCACTGACAGTGACAATTACGCTTCCTACTTGGATCTGCGTCTCGATTTTGACAATTGCCATAAACTGAGTGTTAAATTGTAGGTAAATAAAGCATATTGTTATTCAAGCGGTGAATAACGAATAACGAGGTGACTTGCCTCGTTATTGGCGAATAATGAGGTACAAGCTACATCGTTATTCGTTATTCAACTTTATATTCGGAATTTCAATATGCAGGTATCCATGACTAGAATGATGGATGCCAAGTATCCACCAGTAGTATAAAACACCGAAAAACGACCTCTAGACGAAAAACAGTCTACATTGTTATTCAAGCAGCGAATAACGAGCTATTTGTTATTCGTTTTTCACCTCGTTATTCGGGATTTACATATGAAGGTATCCATGTATCTTTAATGAGGATATTTGAGGATTTAATTCTAAACGATCAAAAGACAACAATAGAATAATGAATTGCAAAGTATCCCCTAGCAGTAGAAAACGTATTAAATGACGTATAGTCGGTAAATAAACCAGATTGTTATTCAAGCAGTGAATAACGAATAACGAGGTTGTAATACAATATCATTTGGGATCTAAATTTTAATATTGTATTCTGAATTCATATTTTATTTGTAACTCATTTTGGACATATATTAAGTGACAGATTAATTGTAAGATTTAATCTCTATCAGGTGTGGGGTGTTGACATAATATTATGTAAGATGAAATGGGTTTGTCAAACATGTATACTCGGAGTGTCTATATAGACGGGAGAGACCCGTAGAGACTTAGAGGTCTTCCGAACCTCGGGAGAGGGCCTGCCCTCGACCCCGGAGCAGAGAGGGGTCCTGTGAGGCCTAAGGGAAGCAGCTATAGATAGACGTTAATATACCCAACCAAATGATGTTCATATGTACCTGTAAATATGTTATCCAGTATTAAAATATCTTCTTTAATAAATAAGAGTTCTGTATTGTATCACATACTCTTAAGTATAAATAAGAGTTATGTATTGTATCACAAGATGACTTGTCTCGTTATTGGCGAATAACGAGGTACAAGCTTCCTCGTTATTCGTTATTCCTTATTCAACTTTATATTCGGGATTCCAATATGCAGCTAGCCATGACTAGAATGGTGGATGCCAAATATCCCCCAGTAGTATAAAACACAGCAAAACGACCTCTAGACGAAAAACAGTCTACATTTTTATTCAAACAGCGAATTCATACCAAATCCCATAAAAATGTAGCTTTTATCACGTTTACAGAGTTTTCGGCAAATGGATAGGGTTAACATTGTTATTCCAGCAGCGAATTCATACCAGAGTTTTCGGCAAATGGATAGGGTTAACAGGGCAACTCCAGCAAAGTCGCAGACAATATACATGAGAGGCTATAGGTGTTGAAAGGCGGGTAGGTTGGACATCACACAGGAGTCACACGATTCACTCTTAAACAAAATCCGTTTGAAACCGTAATGTCAAACAGCACAATTTACAACAGCACGAACTTATCACTTCTTCTGTGACCATGGGAACACATTGCATCGTGGAAAGCAGTGCTACACCAAACACAGGAGGTGATTATTCAGCGTTAGTAAAGAAGTGGGGTGGGGCGGTAAATCTCTTGATGAATATTACATTTTTTAGCAAAAAATAAATAACGATTATTATGAAAAAATATTTTATAATAGTAAAAATATATAATGAATCATAGAATAATATTGTAGACAGTTTTAAAGCTAAAATATCAAAATATAATGAAACATAAAAGTATCAAAAAGTATGACAAATGACTAAATATGAAATTTGATTTAGTAAGCTGGGTATTAATAGAAAATATCAAGTGTATTTTTAATAAAACAGCCTGGATCTAGGGGAGTCACTGGTCATATAGTCTGGACACAGGTGAGTCACTGATCATATAGCCTAGACACAGGTGAGTCACTGATCAAATAGCCTGGACACTGGTCAAATAGCCTGGACACGGGGCTACAATACTTAAGATCAGGAGTTGAGTCTCTAAAGATGTACGGTAAATCTTCTATTTTAAATAAAAGTATCTCACAATTTCTGAACATGGCTGTTGGTTATACATTGTATAACTAAGGCTTGTTCTGAATAAACTCAATACGACCCCAGTAAATGCTGATATTACCAGTGACTGGATACGACCCCAGCCATGCTGACTGAAAAGGTGATGTCTTTTAAATTCATCAGAAATGTAATGGATATTTGGTAACATATGGAATGATTAATTTCAATATCAGCAGTACGGGTTCAGACTGAAGAATTCAGTTTTAGTGCTAATAGTATAAATACAAACTATGACAAGTCTTCAATAATAACTTCAATGATACCTATAAAATCTTTAAAAATATCAGAAATACAAAGCAAGATCTAAACAAAATTGAGCAATATACAATAAGCAGTATTACAAAAGTTTGAGAAAAGAATATATAAACTCTAATATATTATTATGCAAATATTATTTGTCTATGGAATGTTAATTCAGTTGTTAAATCTATACAACTCTATAAAAATATCAGAAAACACAAGTGGATTCTAAACACAATTGAGCAATATAAATATACAGTAAGCAATATTATAAAGGTTTAACTAAAATCAATAAAAATTCCAATATATTATTATGCAAATATTATTTTCTATGGAATGTTAAATCAGTTGTTGAAAATATAAACATTTTACTGTGGAGTATCAAATTCTATTCTAGGCATTACCCTTTCCTCCTGCTTTATAAGCTGTAACACTCCAGTTGTGTCATAGACGCCATGTTGAATAAACGTTAGTCTCCCTGTACTAAAGGGAAATAACCACAAGAATAGTTAAATACATAATATTATGAGAGTATATCATTTATAGCAAATATACATGTATAGTACTATTTACCTACTGAAATATTGATGATTAATCTGTAAAACATTGAATTGATAAAATAGTAAACCTCAATAAAATAATAATCTTAAAAATTTAAAACAAATGTAATTAATATTTATATATTATAAATGAATAATATGAATCTAATATCGTTTATATATTTAAATAGCGGATACAGCAGTATGCCTATAAAAGATCACAAAGTTAACAATAAACAAAAAATCTATAAAATATTTATATTGATTATATATGGGTATGACTAGTATCTTCATTGTAATTACCTGGTCTTGACATTGTTACATATACATTAACATATTGTATTCAATACACCTACATATAAATAAAACATTATAATACTGCTGAGTAGAAACAATTATTACAAATTATTTATAAAACATAACATAGACTAGTATAAAACCTGAAAAACTTTAAAACATTGATGAGTAGTGTTAAAGTGTTTAAGTAGCTAAATATCATCCAAAGTCTTCGGCATTGAAAACACGAATTATTTATCAATTCAAATCAACATTGATATTGTGATCTTACCGGGAAAAGATGGGCTTCTGATGTCCAATATTCAAGACACAATAAACCTTTTAGTAATGGTACACAAAGCATGTACCAGAATGCGTTTTAGAGCCATTTGCAACAATGGACTCAAAGAACGAGGCTAGATATATTCCACAAGTCAGTCAAACGGTGGCGTCATATTCTAATTTGGAGAACATGCTAAATACTATCGGTGTATACTGGAATAACTAGACGCTAGAGATTGCCATTCGATTGAGACTTTTGTCGTATTTATACGAACATAACTGATTAGAAATTACAGTAAAAACAGAAACAATTGAATATAAATCAGTTTATGTACAATCATTTGTAACATTTGAATTGAATAAAATAGTAAGCCTCAACAAAATAATAAACTTAAAAATTAAAAAAATGTAATTAGTATTTATATACTATAAATGTAATAAGTATTTATATATTATAAATGAATAATGTGAAGCACATAAAATAAGTATAAAAACACCACCAAATCACAGATCAATACTGATCCTAAACAGTCAGTTGTTGAATACGATCTCTAACAGAATATTTCATATAAATAAATTGAAATAAAATGTGTTTAACGTTCTACTTGTCTGCCCCGACTGGGCTAACTATTTCATATAAAGTCAACAAAACAAAGTAAAGCAACCTAATAAATAAAATTAGTTTCACGTTCTACTTGTCATATAAAGACAACAACGCAAAGTGAAGCAACATGATAAATCAAGTCTCTTCTGTTATAAATCAATATACACCATACCATGCTAATAATATGTATGTTGTGATTTGATGTCAATATATAATATACTATACTATAAATATATGTATGTTCTGACTTAATGTCAATATATAATATACTATACTATAAATATTTGTTATTGTGTTACAGGTGTACATTAGACTGTGATATAGTAGGTACAGGTCCTTGTTCACTGTAATGATGCCAAGACAATCCTTATGTAACAAAGAAGTGAGTATAAATAGCAATACAATTTTTGATAAATAAGGACCAGGCCCTATGGTTTATAGTTCTTTAGGTAACGACAAATATAATGCTGAAACTATGAAATACACTTAAAACAATAACTAATAAATCTAAGCTGTCTAGCAACAAAAAACATGAACTTTAAAAAGAATAGCTTGTCAGGTTGTAAGATGAAATGAAAAACAGAAACATTTTCATAATTCTCAACATAGCACAAACCAAGACCCTAATTATCTACATGGTGATATTCAATAGACAACTGTTTTATATATAAAAAAAGGGAAAAATATTCCTCTGTGCATTTTAGAGTGTATCATTAATGAGAATACCACATCAATTAATGGCGATAACATGGCTGGGTAGAAAGATTTACTTAACTCATGCCTGCACAGTCAGGAAGCTAAAAGATTATCATTGGTTCATGTTTTTGGTATCATAATTGGATATGCTCAGAATGTTTAATATCTATTGATCAATCAAAAAGTTTAAGATTTGAAAGAGATTGGGATAGATCAAGCTACCCATCTAGATCCTTTAATTTACTTCTTCTTAGTTTTCATTTGTTTTGTCTTTGGTTTAGATGGTGGTGGTGGTGGTGGTGCTGGTGCGTCATCATCATCACTGCTATCAGAAACAGGTGGTGGAGTTGGTCCTCGAACACCAGGTTGTATACAAGCATACTCAACTGCATCATGATACACGGGTTTCACATCTTTAGCTGGTGTTTTGTTCGTGAAAACAACATCAGCATAATTCAGTCCCTCCTTGTTAATAGTTGGTTTCTGGATGAAAATAGAAAATCATAAATAAACTGTGATTGATGATATATAACGACATTGATGAACATAGATAGAAGTGTCCTCAAACCCTGAAGAGTTACCTACACACAACACAGCTGCTGACAAACTCTAATAACTACTGGAAGCAGCTATTTAACATGGGTTATGACTGTCTGACCCGTCCTTGTATTACTACTGGAAACAGCTAATTAACATGGGTTATGACTGTCCTTGTATTACTACTGGAAGCAGCTATATAACATGGGTTATGACTGTATGACGCACCCTTGTATTACTACTGGAAACAGCTAATTAACATGGGTTATGACTGTCCTTGTATTATTACTGGAAGCAGCTATTTAACATGGGTTATGACTATTTAACTATCACTACTGTAGAAAAAGACTTTAAACCATCAGTGAATATCACTACTACTCTAACCCCGTATTCTCGTCACACTGATATATACTAATAGATACAGTATCGATTAGTCTGTGTGGTCACACTCATATATAATAATAGATACAGTATCAACATGTTGAAATCCATAACGATTTTTCTGGTATGCAGCTTCAGTGACTATTAGACACATCTATTATTCCCGCACCATTTTTATCTTTGAACAACAAATAGTTTTGAAGGAAGCTAACTTACCTTTGTAGGAATTGATTTTGCTTTGATAACAATGTTTTCATAAATTCCTAAGAAAAATATTTGAAAAATTAATAGCTCAATAAATATAACATATATTACAACAATGTTACAAACATTAACTTTCATATTCTAGCTTTCACATACAGCCTAATAAATTATCCTATAGTTGAGCCTATTTAAAAAGCAACAACAATAACTTGGGTCGCTAGAGTGTTCACAAGATTATGTAAAGTTAACCATTGGGGACATTATTTCAGATATATTTAACTTATATTGTTGAAACTCTACAGGTAGTCTTTATGTCATTAATTTAAACAGTGTATTTGAATTTCAAACAGATCGCAAGATGAACGATATAGTGTTCACGAGATTCTACAAAATCAAATTTACCAAAAGTCACAACAGTTACAAGATTATCAATAAAATGTAATTCATAGTCTTAACATATTATCGACAAAGCTCTATCAATACAAAGTACAGAGATAACAAAAGATGTTGGAAGCACAGGGGAGAGGGTGGGGGGACATCAAGGAGTCAATAACATACAATCACCTTAACATTTAAGAGTAAAAATGGGCTAAATATATATGTGCACGAGTTTAGTACAGAAAAATATTAAGAGCCTTATGTAAATTATACCCCTGCAAACTTTATTCATGTGAACCGTACTGAACGAGCAAACCCAAATAGAACATTATGAAAAATTATGAAACAGAAAAAACAAAGGGACATAATACAAACGATCCTCTCTCTGTCTTGGCAATTATTTGGGTTAAAAAGAATTGTGAAGAGAGTCTACCCAATCACACCTGCTCTATCAGAAATGTTTGTGAGATTACCATAATCAGAATATTTTAAAAGTAAGCTTTGATTATATGGCCATATAATATATGTGCAATACTTGAATAGAATAGAAAACATGCTGGTCTACCTGTCTGTCCACTAGCAGCTTTATTATCTTGACCAGCCTTTTTCTTAACAACCGCTGTGTAGATAACTTCAGGATCTGATAAAACATTTATATCAAATAATGTGTATACTAGCAGTTATCTTGATAATGGTAGAATCAGATAAATACCATCTAGACTATGATTCTAGCATTAGTCTACAGTTATCTTGATACTGGTAGAACAGATTAATACCATCTAGACTATGATGTTAGCATTAAACTACAGTTATCTTGATACTGGTAGAACAGATTAATACCATCTAGACTATGATGTTAGCATTAAACTACAGTTATCTTGATACTGGTAGAACAGATTAATACTATCTAGCTAGACTATGATGCTTGTGTTTAATTAACTTGTCTATCAGACTTAAATAACTAAAATAAGCTACCCTACCTGGTTTCTTGGCAGGCTTTTTACTTTTTCCAGATTCATTTCCATTTTGAGGTCCAAATAAATGATCACTTCCTTCATACAAGAGATTATCATCGATAACTGATCAACATTAAATATAAAACAAGCATTGTAATAACAGTATTTCAAATATATGATCACAACAGATTATCATCGATAACTGATCAACATTAAATATAAAACAAGCATTGTAATGACAGTATTTCAAATATATGATCACAAGAGATTATCATCGATAACTAATAAACATTAAATATAAAATAAAGCATTGTAATACGAGTATATTAAATATATAATCACTCCCCTCATACAAGAGATTATTATCGATAACTGATCAACATTAAATATAAAATAAAGCATTGTAATGATAGTATATTAAATATATAATCACTCCCCTCATACAAGAGATTATTATCGATAACTGATCAACATTAAATATGAAATAAAGCATTGTAATGATAGTATATTAAATAAATGATCGCTTAATCCTTCATACAAGAGATTATCATCGATAACTGATCAAATTTAAATATAAACAACGTATTGTAATAACAGTATATTAAAAGAGAACGGTAGGGATGGATGGGGTGGGTGGTTTGGTATTGAGGGGAGAATGTCAGGGGTTGGGTATTGAGGGGAGAATGACAGGGGTTGGGTATTGAGGGGAGAATGTCAGGGGTTAAGTGGATGGTAGGGTAGTGAGGGAATAGAGGCACTGTTTATGTAAAAGCTGATTTATCTTTTACTTGCCCTACTCCACTCAGAAAACAGAACTTTAAAACATTGTAGAGTGAAATAGTTTTTTCCGCACAAATACAACTGATTTAAACGAAAAGAACCAAACAAAATAAGAAGTACAATACCTACCCATTTTATTATCTTTTCCGGTCTTTAGGTTAGATGACATGGGACTAAAATAAAAAAAAAACAATTCAATGTAACTCATCAAGGTATTAATTATAGCCTAGAGTTTGATGGTTTAAAGTAGCAAAAAGTGTTTAAAATATGATCACGTCCCACGCTCTTCAATAATATAGCTAACTATGCACAGCACAAGTTTCTAGAACCCAACCCTAACCCCCGCTAACTATAGATTAGGGTATGTTAATTAAAACAGGTATGGAAATGTTATGAGTGGGTACCTTTTCTTCAACAATTTGTTTTGGTCCACATGTAGCCTGATATACCTAAAGTATGGGGACTCTGTGTTGAGACATTGAAACATTTTCGATAGGTTTTCTTATCCTGTCGTTACTATCCTTGATAAAACTCATATTTAGCCAGCAACGGTTTGGAAGCTATAGCTGTTGACACGATAAATTATAGTTCTATTGACCTACTGAAATCTAGAAATATTAATCCCTAGTCATACACTAGCCCAATTGGTCTAATATTTTTATACATGTATTGGTGACTTAAGCCTTATCACCACTTGTATAGACTGTATTAATCATTACCTGGACATAAAACAAGAATAATATATAACTTACATGTTATCTGTTTGTCCTGTACAAATAAAAAAAAATTATTGATATTATAACTAACATGTTTAGCAAGGTTGTCTTTGTTATCAACGTTACAACTAACCAATTCAAGAATATCAGATACAAGTACCTTGGGTAGTTTTTGGTATGTAAACTATCAGTCAAATTATCTTTGTTTTATTATTATTATTATTATTATTATTATTATTATTTCATGAGTATAGAAATGCTATTTAGTTACCTTATACATAAATCAACAGGTGATGACATACCGTAAAAAATGAAACCCTTAATACTACTAATAATATTTAAATGAATAAAAACATAATTCATGACCTACCTTTTCCAGGTCCTGCTCCAGTCCGGGGTCCAAATAAATGATCACTGCCCTCATATGTTAAATTGTCATCAATAACTGAAATGGTTTAATAATTACATATAGAGCATGTACGGCAAATTAAACAAAGCCTTCTCAGACTTAAGTTAAAAATTTACTCAACTTCCAATCACTTTTGTCCAGAAGCACAAACCTTTGCACACATTAAGAGTTTTATTTAAGAGTTTTATTTTATTTAAAATAAGACAAACAATTTGAGTAAATTCGTAACTTAAGTTTGAGCTTGTTTTGTTAAACTGGGGCCTGAACGTAATTTAGGAACATTTCATTCTTGTAGTTTTATCATACATTGATTGGGATTTTCCAATCTATGTTGCTTTAATAAAAATATTCTTCACACTAAGATATATTTTGTAAAAATACGCAAACCAGAATTTCAAACCGAATGATAAATCAATGAATCACTTATTTCTGGTTTTACAGCATTGCTGGTACTTATCGGCCTGGTACCAACCAATAAAATTGTACACAATAGAGACATGGTTTCGTCTACATACACTGAACAAAACATAATTAAAAAATATATTAATTACCCATTTCATCTTGCCTTTTATTTCCTTTGTTTGATAACGGACTAAAAAAAATAAAACATGATAAAACGAAAAACACAAATGGTAACCAAAATAACAAGCAAGCATACAACAAATACAGTGATATCTATAATTTATTATTAAAACTGAAAGAGTCATTATTGATTTGAAATTGAAAGTCCTCGCCTGTTGGTAAAAGAATATAGTCCATCGGGCATGTTCAAATTAGAACCAGTCTATCAGCTATCAGTCTATCTATGATCAATCAATTTATCTATCAGCTATCAGTCTCTATCAACTATCAGTCTATCTATCATCAATCAATTGATCCATTAGCTTTGAGACTTTCAACAAGGATGAAACCTTATAATCAATTACTGATGAGCAATATTTGGGACTGTAGTAATCATTTTAACTGAGGTCTGTTGGTCGCCAGTATATTGTCATGGTGTTTAAACTCCGTAAATTCTTAAGGGAGTTTTCACTCTAAACTTATTTTTAAATTTGATAACAAAAAAAGCTAACACATACAACCCTCAATTAATGAAACCATCTATGCCTGAAACATATAGGTGGGATTACAAAAATACTAAAATATAACTATTGACAGTGAGATACACTCAGTGCAATTATGATATCTTGTGACTAACATGAGCTAAATAACTTGTTTCAGTTCTGTATCCAACAAAAGGGAACCGAAGAACTGTGAATTAAAACCTATAAAAATACTTACACATTATCTTGGGAACTGTCTTTTTGTGCTGTTTTAATAAAACAAAACAATGAATGATAAACAGTCTTGATCGATATCATGCAAAAGGCAGGCTATGCCTCATAACTAACAAGGGTTGTTAATCTTAACGATAAGATGACTGATGTAAATCACTTTTTAAAATTTCCCCAAACTGAACAACTCAACTGTATATTGGATATTGTAGTTATTCCAAGAATTTATATTATTAAAATAAAGCATGTCTCTTCAATAACTTACCCTTTCTACGGTACAGTTATAATACCAACTATTATAAATATACCAATAATACTTGTATAACTTACCCTTTCTACGGTATATCACCACAACAATAACAGTTATAATACCATCAATATACCAATAATACTACTATAACTTACCCTTTCTACGGTATATCACCACAACAATAACAGTTATAATACCATCAATATACCAATAATACTACTATAACTTACCCTTTCTACGGTATATCACCACAACAATAACAACCACTATTACAATAACCAATACACTAACAACTATAGTAACCATATTATTACTTTCCACTGGCTCATTTACTGGCTGTGGTGGTTCTATATAAAACAAAACTCTACATAGATAAGGTGGAAAAATAATTTAATACAAAAGATACTTGTAAATTAAATACAGCTACTATATGGTTATTTTAATTATCTTTGACAGAATCAGAAAGGACTGTTTTTAATTGATTCATAGAGTTTTTATAGAACAGTGCAGGCTAATATTTCATCATATCTTTAGATGACATTTGAATTGACTCAAGAGTTGGAAGGGATTACAGTTCCATTTTTTGATAAGTTTAATAAGAAAGAAGTTTGCATTCAGTTATTGCCTGAGGCACTAAGCAAGTGCAGTGGTTTCAATACGTGTAATACGTCAGCAAAAATCTGTTTTAATTACTATTCAGACAGCATAGTTTTAAATTCATTGGAGTTGGTTAATTTGATATTTATTGAGACCAGATAACATGCTGTTACAATAACCAATATAAGAAAGATCAACAGCCATTACCTCCATCAATTCTATGGTAGGGTAGCAAACTAAAATTCAAGCTAACTTTTAAATATCCTACCTGCATTTATAACTTTAATATGATCAAGTTTTAATATTGAGTTACCAATAATATAAAGCTAGAATTGATATTTAATTGTCTTTACCTCCATTAATAACTGTAATAGTGAAGTTCTGAACACCAATACCATTGTATACAGATACTATATAATCACCAAATAGAGTAGAGTTTAGTGTTATCTCTACTGTTGATTTATAGTTTATAGTTGATAGTTGTTGTGTTCTAGCTGTATTTATTATATGTCTTGTAGGTGTATGGTACCAGGTGAAGGTTGGTTCAGGGTAGGCGATTATATCAACTTCTAGATTTATTGTTGTATTTATTCTATTAGTGATGTTTCTCATAGTTACCATGTTTTCTCTTGGAGAACCTAAAATATAGAAATATTAAGGGGCATTAGATATTACAGTGCATCTGAGTGTAAAACTTTCAAATCTGGATACAAGAACTAAAATTTGTGTGGGTGTCCATTCAGGGTCATTTATTAAGAAACGCCTGTTAGCTACGTGATTTTCAAATGGCGTTTCCGACTTTTCTTTCACTTAATTTTACCCACTGGACTAATTGAGATGAATTTTATATAAGCTCACATTTTCCTGTAGACGTATTATGTTGTCTCCCATATCCCTTCATATTTGTTTGTGGACAATGTAGAGGTCACAATTTTATCTTAATTTGGTGCCCATCAGAAGCAACTTCTTGTGTTATGGGCCCCAACCTGTTACATATAAAGATATCCGATCACGTGGAGGAGGTTGATTCTGGTCTGCAACAGACGACAACTTCTTGAGTCATGGCACTTGCATTTTACGCAAGATGTGAATTGTGTACAGATTGTGAAACTTAAATTATAAGGATCAATAAGATAAGAGAATTGAACGCAACTTTATCGCAAAAAATTACATTTTGTTGCCTGAAAGTCGCCATCTTAAAAATTAGCAGCCGTCTTGGATTGGGTAGTGGGTTTTTTTTTTAACAGAACAGTGCTCAAGGAGTATGTGTACCAGTCTTGCTACATGTATGCACAGTTAGCTGCTGGATTTTATTCAAATTTAGTGGTTATACCATGCCATGTGCACAAGAACTCTTATTTATTACATCTCTTCAAACAAAAGTTGGATTTGGCTTGCAAATGTAGATAATTATATATTTGCTCATGTGGAGTTAACTCTAACTCTAACCGACGAGTTAAACTGTTTAGGGTTATAGTACGCGTGAACTTAAAACTATACTGGTTTAAAATCCTTCTATAGAGGCGAAAAGAAAAGGAATTACATTCTTATTGTGTCAGATATTAAAACGATTTTTAATGGTATAAAATATTGCGCTGTACTTACATGTAACATGGAGTGGAATAGTTTTAGATACAGGCTGACCAATCGTATTACTAGCTGTACAGTTATAGTTATCTGTATGTTGACAACTAACTTCAGGTATGGTATATTGACTACCAGAATAGAGTTGTTCCCCTGGTTGTGATCTAGACCAGGATATATCTGAAGACGGAAGACTGTCAACTGAACATGTGAAGGTTACAGTAGAATCTTCATCTATCATGTTGTTGGTAGCATCTGATGTTAGACCTGTGATGACCGGTGGATCTGTTTTAATAAACAGAAAACTATAAAAATTTATTTAAATCTGATTCACTTATCGATTAAAGTATCAGATGTTACACTTAAGGTCACAACCACATGTTTAGCATGCCAAAAGACCGCGGCCCTTTCCTGTGTGATTTCAGACAAGTCTGTGTAAAGGGCCTTGAGCACAGAGATTCTAAGCCCTAAAATTCTGTTTTAATATGAAAATCAGGAAATGGATTGACTCACTACAAAATAAGTACTCGCTAACTAATGACACAGTTTTCGTAACATGATCCATAATACCATTGTGAATTATTACTATGATTTGATGTTACAAATTTGAAAATGAAAAATTAAACAAAATAAAAGCTTTTACAATGTGTGGGTGGATTTTGGAGTCCGATACAAACAATAATTTGAAATGTTGTGTGTTTGCCATATAAATAATCGTCGACGATAAATCGGGCGCTCACAGATAAATAATCCTTAACAATGTGTAATAATGATATGTTTTAAACTAGTCGTAATATAGACATTTATCACTCAATAATACATTCTACAGTAGATATCGCTTGTGTAATAAATTTCATAATCTAGGAGATATCGCTTTACATGAATGTGATTGGTCAGTTATAAACAAACTATTTATATTTTCAAAGAACAGTTCATTTTTTTTAATTACAAAGTAACTTCTTTTTTTTATTAAAAATGAACTGTTTTTATTTAATTGACCTTGATGGAAACACTTGGTCAATATAAAGAACTTTGCAATGGTTATATTGCTGTCACAAATGACGTATCACTACGCCTTAATGTAATCAGGTTCAGTAGCAAAGAATCATATTTATTTATTTGTGCATGTAAGAAAGGATTGGGTGATAAATAAATCTCCCACTCGTCTTTTTTTATATCAAAAATATCTACACTCGTCGATAAAGTAAATAAAAGTCGTCAGAGCCTCGTTTTATTTTAACTTTATATATACTAGTAAATTTAAAATAATTTATCAACTTACAATGTACTATGACCATCAGATGTTTAGACTGAAGTGAACCAGGTATCTGTGTATTTGTAATCTGACAGGTGTAATTACCAGCTTCTTGTCTCTTGATGTTGATCAGTGAGAGAAATTCAGTAAATGATATTATAGTTGAATCTTTATACCATTTGATATTACATGGTGGATTACAGTCAGCTGAACAGGTTACAGTTTTTCTTTCATTTTCTATCACTGTTATACTAGAACCCGTTGGTGTAAATCTGATATTCTCTGGTCCATCTGTTAAAGAGATTATTATTGAAAAGTTAAACAATGGCCATGCACCGAGTGTGTACATGTATATGTCATATACAGGAGCTAATACGGCCAACGGTATTAAAATAAAACGTAAAGAAACCATGACCATAAGTTCTGACGTCGATAAATATTAGACAAAAAGAAAGATTGTTGTCTATAATTGTTTGTGATATAGTATAAAACGATTGGCATGATAGCTAGACGATTGTGAGTAAATCCCAGTCTGTGTTACCAATATGAGCAGGTATATAATTTACAGTCTGTTGAATTAAGGTGTAATGTATTGGTTGTTGACCCGGATGTTGATCAGTTATAATTTGGCATAATCAAATGACACACCGCGAGGAGTAGCCTAAGCTAGTAGAACGTGCAACTCTATAGACAAAATAGTTTGCCTATGCTCCTAAATATCAAGGAATAGAAAAGCAATTCCGCCGGATTTAGAGCATTTCCCCAATATCTTGTCTGTGAATGGTGTTGTTCAGTGACAGAAAACCACTAGTATCAGATCCTTTACACCAGTTGATTTTCCGATTAGATTGTAAAGCGAATAGTATGCTATAAGCCACACTGGACCACTAGGCTATAGTACTTACATATAACATAGAGTGGAATAGTTTTATACATAGGTTGACCAATATTATTACTAGCTGTACAGGTATAGTTATCTGTATGTTGACGACTAACTTTAGATATGGTATATTGACTACCAAAATAGAGTTGTTCCCCTTGTTGTGATCTAGACCAGGATATTACTGAAGATGGACGACCGTCAACAGAACAGGTGAAGGTTACAGTAGAATCTTCACCTACCATGTTGTTGGTAGCATCGGATGTTAGACTTGTGATGGTTGGTGGATCTGAAATTAATGTAAATTTACTTATCATACTTATCATTCTGAACAAACAGTTATATATATTTCATCTTTCATTTGTATGGTATCATTTCCCGAGACACGTTTTTTTCTCACTTAACTAAAATTGGCCATTTTAAACTCTTTATTATTTACTATTAAACCAATTTGATTACTAGTAAAATTTAACTCATCCCAGAATAAGTATGAGTACAAATAGAGTGTTTACTAGATAGAAGATTGTGTTTGTAAAGGTGATTACTGGGGCTCCAATGTATATTGTAACAGACATAGTAACCTAGACTGTACTATACATGTCTACTCTATAGTAACCTACACTGCTCTATATACATGTCTACTCTATAGTAACCTACACTGCACTATATTCATGTCTACTCTATAGTAACCTAGACTGTACTATACATGTCTACTCTATATAGTTACCTACACTGTACTATACATAAAGATGGAAGTTAAACATGTAATAGCTAAAGAATGATTCAATACTATATAACAAACATACACATGGTACTTTAATATAAAATAAATATCCTGCATAACAATAAATTACAAATATATAAATTTTATCAACTTACAATGTACTATAACCATCAGTTGTTTAGATTGAAGTGAACCCGGTATCTCTGTATTTGTGGCCTGACAGATGTAATTACCAGCTTCTTGTCTCTGGATGTTGTTCAGTGGGAGAAGACCATTACTACCATAAGGAACAGGTCCTTTTTCCCAGTAGATATCACATGGTGGGTTACAATCAGCTGAACAGGTTACAGGTCTACTTTCATTTTCTATCACTTTTATACTAGAGCCTGTTGGTGTAAATCTGATATCCTCTGGTCCATCTGTTAAAGTCAATATCATTAGGAAATTAAAATAGTGCCATCAGTTGAATGGAGTGGTATATTTGTACCCATTTGAATTACTTTAAGCCAACAGTCATTCAAGATATGTACATGTTGAGGAAGAAATGAACATCAAAATCTTCTTATTGTCCCAGAAGGTTGCGGCGGCCTCGTGTTGGATCAAAGTGTTGACCGAGAAAATTCATCACTCATTTTTTACTCATTTTGACTGTATATACATGATACTAGTGCACTAATCTTGTATTTAAAAATGACTAGAAATACAGACGGTATATTTATGAACTATTAAAATGTTCACATCACGTCCCAGTTTATTTTAAATCACAACCGAATTCACAACCTCCATTCAGTAATTATAATTTGACCTGTATAAAAATGTCTTGTAAAAAATCCCCCCACCTCCCCCATTTTCTACAAAAGATTAAATATGCGAAAACACGATTTAGCTGCTGTGGGCGTATGTTTCGTTGCCTGGCAACCTATCTTTGGCAGATGACGCGAACATTAAAACTAAATAAAGCACATATGATATTTACAATTTAATTAATAATTAAAATTGTTTGAAATACCACTAAAATCATGAAATTTCTGTTCAAAATTGGTTTCCATATAATATTTGCTTCCAGGAAGTCTGACGATTATCTAGTAATGACGTTGATGACTTGTGTATAAATAAAATTTTCCTTTTATTCAAAGAGACGACCATGTGCTCACGAACTATGCGAGAAACAGTGCGATGTCAGTTTGAAATGGTCGGTTTGAGGTTTGAATTATATTTTTATCAGAAATCTCCTCTTTGTGTATTACTAAGACTTCCAACAATTGATATCGGCTTTCTACGCACGGTTTGGGTTTCGTTTAGTTTGCGTCACCTTCAATGAATGGAATGTCATCATTTATAAATACATGTATACAGCAGTCAGCCACTACCCAAGTAGAGAAAGAAGAAAGAGAAAGAGAAGCACGCGTATTCGTTGTGTTGATAAAATTGTGTCCCTGAAAGATTTCAATGGGATGAGGTGTAGAGAAAGACTAGATAGTATATTTTTTTATGTCCCTTCACAAATTTGTAGAGGGCGTTTCAGGTTATATGGTATTAATTTGAAAACACCAATAATAAATTGTCGGAACAAAAAAAAACCGACGATGACTAGTTATCACCATCCCGTGCCCTTGCACTTGTTTGGAAGGCATAAGGAAAAACAAATTCTTGGAATATCAATGGGACTAGTCAGAAGATTCATACTCTGATCATAGTAGCTCGGCAAGGCACAGTCGCTACTCCCTGTAAGGTTTGCACAACAACCTTTGCCTACCTCAATCAGCTGCTGTATGTTAAACATTAAGCTTATACATCAGAAAATAAAATACTTTAATAGTTTGATGTTTGTATAAAGTTTTAAAAAGATTTCTCTGAAAAAATAATGAAATATGCTCTAGAATGAAATCGGGATATCAGGAAGGCCGTCAAAAAGTAAAATAATAGGTTGATAAATGTAAAAGTGTTATAAAGGTATCTTGAACATTTTCTGAGATATGCTCTAGAATAATAATTATAAATCCGACAAATTTTTAATTAGCAAAAGGCACAATTACTGTAATAGGATGATGTGTTCAAAGTTTCAAAAAGATATTTTGAACGATTTATGCGAAATGCTCCGGAAACAAAATTGTGCATAACAACCAAGTCAAATATAAATAATTAGACAAAAAGAAAGATTGTTTTCTATAGTTGTTTGTGATATAGTATAAAACAATTTAGCGAAGGTTTCGTCACATAATTTAGATATGAAATGTTTATGTATATATGTAAAAGAAAATGGAAACCTTGGCATGATTGTTGGACGGCTGTGTGTAAAACCCAATCTGTATTACCAATTTGTTTCGATGAGCAGATATATGATTTACAGTCGGTTGAATTAAGTCTATTTTGGGCGTGTTTTATATCTGAACTTCTGAATATTGTTTTAATCAGCTTATATCTTATGACATGAATTTACTCTGTCATTTTAAAGAAAATAACTATGCAGTACTGGGTGCGAAAACAGTTTGTCTACCTTTATCATTGAATCAAATCTCTCCCAATCGAGTACAGTCGAATCTGTGTTCAGCAGTCACTCAATGAGATTTCCATGACTGACCACTTAACATGGAGTGCCCTCTTAATAAAATCGCAGTGTTAGTTAGTACTTTGGCCGTCACTGAAACTAGACAGTGCAATAAAAATTCTTTGACTCAATTCTCCGATATAAATACTGCAAACGTGTCGGTTTGTGCTGCCAATATTGAATATTGATAGCGATTGAACATTGTTTAAATCAGCGTTATGTTTAAAAATATTTTATGACGTGAATTTACTGTAGAATTTCTACTTGCATAATCCTGAAGCACTGAACCGGAAAATCCCTGTCTGGGCATTCCTGTACTGGTTTTTGTGACGGAGTGTGTCCGAGTGTATAGTGCGATCAAATCTATCCTGATCGGGTACAGTAAAATCGGTATTCAGCAGCCACTCAGTGGAATTTTCATGACTGACCGCTTAACTAGAGTGACCTCTTAATACAATTTCAGTGTTTGTATATACTAACATCAAGCAAAATTTTACCTTTGGATGCATCGAGAGATAACATCAAGGGGCCTATTCGCATGGGTAGCTATGGCTATCACTGAAACTCGATATTTGAACGTAAATTCTTTGACTCAAATCTCCGATATAAATTCTGTAAACGCGTCTGTTTTTATCAACATTAATTACAACATACTTTTGTCATGTGTGTGGTAATATTTGCCCATTCATGAATTAGATTTATTTTATCAAAAAAGCAAATATCTTAAAAACAAACAACAAATGTTGAAAGTGGATCGTATTTCTATCCAGTTTGTTGCAACACAATACGTAACATGACAGTCCATCTCTTTGATCTGGGAACATTTTTTTAATATCGAACAGTTTATTAAACTGTTAAACGATAGTTAAAATATTGTTAATCTGCTATGTGGTCCCACTAATGATAAAAAATATTCCACATGTGGTGATTACCTTATGTTTACGTTTGTAGCTATATTGGATAGCCATGTTTATCACCCAATCAAATGAAACACTGTGAGGATTAGTCTATGCTAGTAGAACGTGCAGCTCTACAGGCAAACTATTTTGCCTATGCCCCTAAATATCAAGGAATAGAAAAGCAATTCCGCTGGATTTAGAGCATTTCCCCAATATCTTGTCTGTGAATGGTGTTGTTCAGTGACAGAAAACCACTAGTATCAGATCCTTTATACCAGTTGATTTTCCGATTAGATTGTAAAGCGAATAGTATGCTACAAGCTACACTAGACTACTAGGCTGTAGTACTTACATCTAACATTGAGTGGAATAGTTTTAGATACAGATTGACCAATATGATTACTAGCTGTACAAGTATAGTTATCTGTATGTTGACGACTAGTTTTAGGTATGGTATATTGACTACCAGAATAGAGTTGTCCCCCTTGTTGAGATCTAGACCAGGATATTACTGAAGATGGAAGACTGTCAACATAACAGGTGAAGGTTACATTATAATCTTCATCTATCATGTTGTTGATAGCATCTGACGTTAGACTTGTGATGGTTGGTGGATCTGAAATTAATGTAAATTTACTTATCATTCTGAACAAACAGTTATATATATTTCATCTTTCATTTCTATGGTATCATTTACCGAGAGACGATTTTTTCTCACTAAAATTGGCCATTTTAATCACTTTATCATTTCTATTAAACCAATTTGATTACTAGTAAAATTTAACTCATCCCAGGATAAGTATGAGTACAAATAGAGTGTTTACTAGATAGAAGATTGTGTTTGTAATGGTGAATACTGGGGCTACAATGTATATAGTAACAGACATAGTAACCTAGACTGTACTATATATGTCTACTCTATAGTAACCTAGACTGTACTATACATGTCTACTCTATAGTAAACTATGCTGTATAGTAACCTAGACTGTACTATATATGTCTACTCTATAGTAACCTACACTGTACTATATATGTCTACTCTATAGTAACCTATACTGTACTATACATGTCTACTCTATAGTAACCTAGACTGTACTATACATGTCTACTCTATATAGTTACCTACACTGTACTATACATGTCTACTCTATAGTAACCTAGACTGTACTATACATGTCTACTCTATAGTAACCTAGACTGTACTATATATGTCTACTCTATAGTAACCTAGACTGTACTATACATGTCTACTCTATAGTAACCTACACTGTACTATACATGTCTACTCTATAGTAACCTACACTGTACTATACATGTCTACTCTATAGTAACCTACACGTTACTTTACATAAAGATGGAAGTTAAACATGTAATAGCTAAAGAATGATTCAATACTATATAACAAACATACACATGGTACTTTAATATGAAATAAATATCCTGCATAACAATAAATTACAAATATATAAATGTTATCAACTTACAATGAACTATAACCATCAGTGGTTTAGATTGAAGTGAACCAGGTATCTGTGTATTTTTAACCTGGCAGGTGTAATTACCAGCTTGTTGTCTCTGGATGTTGTTCAGTGGGAGAAGACCTTTATTACCACTAAGAACAGATCCTTTTCTCCAGTTGATATTACACGGTGGACTACAGTCAGCTGAACAGGTTACATTTTTACTTTCATTTTCTATCACTGTTATACTAGAATTGGTTGATTCAAATTTTATATTCTCAGGTCCATCTGTTAAAGAGAATATGATTGGAAGGTTAAAATAGTGCCATCAATTGAATGGTGTGGTATATTTGTACCCATTTGAATTACCACCCAAGAATTTTAAGTCAACTGAGGACAAACAATTATCATGCAAGATATGTACATGTTTTGGAAGAAATGAACACCCAAATATTCTCATTGTCCCAGGAGATATGGAAGACCAAACCGCTCTTTATTAAGTGTTCTTAATTCATACTCATTCTTATTTCTTCATTTGTTGTCGTATTTCGACATTTGTACACTGAAATTAACATTTGTATCTTAAAATCAACATTTTTTGTTCACAAATCAAACATTTGTCATATCAGATTTTTAAAATGTATATTTGTTTAATTCAATTGTATTTTAATATAAAGATAAACATTTTTTTAGTAAATCAAAAAAAATATATACATTTACATTTCATGATAGACATACAAAGAAAAAAAATATCGTAGAAGAAATTTCCAAATACAAATCTTCAAATACAAATCTTATAAAACATTTCTCCAAAAACATTTCTCCAAAAACATTTCATCAAAAACATTTCTCTAAAAACAATTCTCTAAAAACATTTCTTGAAATTCATCGAACCGGAACATTATGACGACATGAGCCGAAATCAAACTGGTATACAATAAGTCACCATACAGTTAAGGAGAATCGAGCAAGCATACATACATGTCCCGGTAAAATAGCTAATACTAGTATGTTCAAAGAGCGATAGACAAATGCTTTCCGGTGAGGCATTACACGATAACTGGAATTTCGTATTAAGACGCGTATTTTGACTTTTAAATACCCCCCCACCTTCACTAAATACTGTTCAGATGATCCAAATTGTATCTGCTTTAACAAGTTACGTAAATATGAGGCATCACGGTAGCTAAGTGGGTAAGGCGCTGGTTCGCTAAGGTCGGGTGTTCGATCCCTGCATTGGACGAGAAAATTCATCCAGATTTTCCGGCGTTGTTCTCCCTTGTCAGTGCAGCTGTCTAGGCAGTTTAGAATTCGATATAAGAGTAGGCCTTAGTGCCGCTGTCCGGGCAGAATTTCCCTCATAGCACACTGTTTGGCACATGCCTGTTTTCATTAGCCCAGTTTGGAGCAAAACAGTAGGACGTTAAAACCCATTTCATTTCATTTTCATTTGGTATGCATCCCGATATCTTGTATTTCGTGTTATGGCCCGTATTTTGACTTAAAACCCCCCAATTTAATACCAGTTAGTGCCAATCAAATATTTTTTTCTTTTTTCAAGGTATGTTAATACAAATTTACAATTTGTAGTAAGCAAAAAACATACTTTCGGGCGGAATATGAACAGATATCGAGAATTTCCTATTAAGATCGTTTTTTTTTTAACTTTAAATACCCCTTCCCTCCCTTAATAAAATTCAGTACCGTGAAAATTTGATCTTTTTTCAAGGTATGTAAATATCAATGTGCCAGAAAATTAAGTGATGGAGATGGGGCGGGGGGTCTTAATTATCAAAATACCTGCAATACTACGACATTCCAGATATCACACAGAATACCACTGGAAAGAAATTTCATTTACCTTTTCAGAAATGTAAATTATACTCTGGCACATTTAAATTTACATAGCTTGAAAAAGGTATTACAGTTGGATGTAGCTAAATATTAAGTTAGTGTGCCTGTGGAGGGGGGGGGGGCGGTAAAAGTTAAAATACGGGTTATCGTGTAATGTATGGCCGGAAAGTATTTTTTTTTTTATCCCTGTTTCAATATATTACTTATTTCCTGGCACATTCATGAAAACATGATTTAGAAGATATAAAACACTCCATCGTTTGAACAAAAAAGGGGGGTTGGGTGGCCGAATGGTTAGCACGTGCGCACTGTATCATAAGGTCTGTCGACTGGTGTGGTTTCGATTCCCCGATTGTACGTGACAAGGAGTAGGGTTACCTGTCCAACCTCGTGGGTTTTCTCCCGGTCCTCCGGTTTCTTCCCAATGATAAAGACCCCTACGCGCAAGCTAATTATTGAAATAAAATCGAACCATGTGTTAGTTCCGAAATGACCTCAACCATGTCAAAACGATGACAATATTTTTTACTCATTTTGGCTGCAGATTCAGGATACTAGTGCACTATACTGGTATTTAAAAATGACTAGAAATACAGACCGTGTAATTTATAAACTATCACATCGCATCCCAAGAAATATATTTTTTAGTTTAACTCACAACCGAATGAACAACCTCCATTCAGGAATTATACTCTGACCTGTATAAAAATGTCTTCCCCGCCTCCCCTATTTTCTACAAAAGATTAAATATGCGAAAACACTTTGGCTGCTGTGGGCGTATGTTTCGTTGCCTGGCAACCATATCTTTGGCAGATGACGGGAACATCCAAACTAAATAAAGCACATATTATATTTACAATTTAATTAATAATTAAAATTGTTTGAAATACCATTAAAATCATGAAATTTCTGTTCAAAATGGGTTTTCATATACTATTTGATTCCACGAAATCAGACGAATATGTAGTAATGACAATTATTCAATACGAACTCACGTGGATGGCTTGTGTATAAATAGACGACCATGTGCTCACCAAACTATGCGTGAAACAGTGCTATGTCGGTTTGAAATTTGAATTATATTTTTATCAGAAATCTCCTCTTCTCTTATTGGTAATAAATAATAATAAATCGAATAAGTTTATTGATATCGCCTTTGTACGCAAGGTTTGGGTTTCGTTTTGTTTGCGTCACCCTCAATGAATGTTGATACATGTATCCAGCAGTCAGCCACTTCCCGAATAGAGAAAGAAGGAAGAGAAAGAGAAGCACATGTATTCGTTGTGTTAATAAAGTTGTGTCCCTGAAAGATTTCAATGGGATGGGGTGAAGAGAGAGACTAGATAGTATATTTACATATGCCCCTTCACAGATTTGTCGAGGACGTTATAGGTTATATGGTATTAATTTGAAGACACCAATAATAAATTGTCGGAACAAAAAAAAAAACAAGATGACTAGTTATTACCATCCCGCGCCCTTGAACTTGTTTGGAAGGCGTAAGGAAAAACAAATTCTTGGAATATCAATGGGACTAGTCAGAAGATTCATACTCAGATCATAGTAGCTCGGCAAGGCACAGTCGCTACTCCCTGTAAGGTTTGCACAACTACCTTTGCCTAACTCAATCAGCTGCTGTATGTTAAACATTAAGCTTATACATCAGAAAGTAAAATACTTTAATAGTTTGATGTTTGTATAAAGTTTTAAAAAGATTTCTCTGAACAGATAATAAAATATGAAATCGGGACAGAAGGAATGTCATCAAAAAATAAAATAATAGGTTGATGAATGTAAAAGTGTTATAAAGGTATCTTGAACAGTTTCTGAGATATGCTCTAGAATAATAATTACATACGAAAATATAATCTAAATGTGTAGTAAAAAATCATTCAACAGAGAATTTTTTTCCATGGCAACTCAAAAATTATTAAATCCGACAATTTTTTAATTAGCAAAGGGCACAATTACTGTAATAGGATGATGTGTGTTCAAAGTCGGCAATACTATAATCCGGAAAACACAGGCAAACACCGGAAAACAACCGGAAAACGAAAGGAAAACACAATTTTATACTGAATACCGGAAAACACCGGATAAACACTAAATACCCGAAAACACACTAAATACCGGAAAATACCCTAAATAGGTAACCCGGAAACTGGCACCCTAAATAGGTAACCAGGAGCCTGGTCCTCTGTGTGCCTGGGTTAGGGTTAGGGTTAGTTTCCGGTTTATAGTATAGCCCTTCTCCGGGTTACCTATTTAGGGTGTGGTTTCCGGTATTTAGGGTGTTTTCCGGTATTTAGTGTTTTTCCGGTATTCAGTATAACATGGTGTTTTCCGGTAGTTTTCCGGTGTTTTCCGGTATATAGAATAGCCCGCTCAAAGTTTCAAAAAGATATTTTGAACGATTTATGAGAAATGCTCCGGAAACAAAATTGTGCATAAAAACTACGTCAAATTTGTTTCCATGGAAACACAAATCTGATTAAATCCCAGAAATTCCAAATTAGCAAAAGGTACAACTAATATAATAGGTTAATGTTTGCAGAAAGTTTCATGAAGATTTCTTAAATGGTTTATGAGATATGCTCTGTAAACAAATTTGAACACCAAAAATTAAGTCAAATTTGTTTGCATGGAAACACAAAAAATATAAATATGAAAATCCTAAATAGCAAAACGCACAACTATCACAGACTGGTGTTTGTACAAGTGCCAAGAAGATATCTTGAACGATTTATTAGATATGCTCCGGAAACAAAATTGTACACCAAAAACTAACTCAAATTTGTTTCCATGGAAACACAAAAAATATAAATCCCATAAATTTGTAAATAGCAAAAAATGCAACTACTGTCATAGGTTGATGTGTGTACATTTTTCAGAAAGATATCTTGAACGGTTTATGAGATATGCTTCGGACACGAAATCAGGACGGACTGACGGACGGACCCCATTTCAATCTCCCTCCCTAACTTCGTTCGGCGCGGGATAATGAAGATATATACACGTACGGCAAATTTAGCTTACTCTCACTCTATATCCGGAGATATTCAAATTGGGGTCTGACTGCTGGGTATTTATAAATTACGACACTGTATTCGCCTTTCCGTGCGTTAAATTAAGGTCCATATTTTTATTTTATTAAATGCAACTTTATATATCTTTATTTATAAGTAGCGTGGCAATGGTACGCAGTATAAACTGCCACAAAATCATAGTATACAAGCCATACTGTACAAACTCCAAAGAGTTCAGAACACAGCTGCCAGGGTCATATCCAGAACAAACAAGTCATCACACATCACCCCTGTCTTGAAATCCCTGTACAGAACACAGAGGCCAGGGTCATATCCAGAACAAACAAGTCATCACACATCACCCCTGTCTTGAAATCCCTACATTGGCTTCCAATTCATTCACGTACAGACTTCAAGATCTTATGTTTGACGTACCAGTGTTAACAGGGTACAGCACCCTCGTATCTTTCAGAACTACTAACTGTATACCAGCCAACTCGTACTTTGAGATTCCAGTATCAAAACATTTTGTGTGTTCCACCTTCAAAATTAAAACAGTTCGGATATAGAAGCTTTAGTACTGTTGCACCAAAACTGTGGAACAATTTACCTCACTATATTCGCGACAGCAAACCTCTTACAAGTTTCAAATCCCAATTAAAAATTCACTTGTTCAAACAGACATGTATATAGTTTATTGCTGTTTAAACATCGCTTTGGACATGCTTATGGATGGATTTGGCGCTCAAGAAATTGACATTTATTATTATTATTATTATTATTAAGAGAAAAGTCTATCATAATCGAGCAAACCCACCCATCTAAAGTCATGTCCTTAATTATACAAAGACCCGCGTAAAGCAAACGGTCGAATGAGAAATCGCACAGTTAAGAAAGCAGTTTTACTGCCAAATTTTGATTTAACAAGCACGTGTCAGATAAAGCTTGTTGGTCCTTGATTTTAGCCTTTTGGTGCAGTTATCACAACTATCGAGAAAACACACAAACTAAACAATACACACCATTGACATTCACTTTTAACCTGTCGGTTAAAGATACATTATGGAAGATCAGATAAAGGGCTGGTAGTTCTCGCTATAATAGTTAAAAACTAGATAATGTAAAGGCAATATGCTGAAAATTGCAGTCAAATTGATCCACTCTGGATCATCATTACTAAACTGGGTACGATATAAACATAATCTCTATTATCCATTTCATGATTAAATCATGAATGAAAGTTAAGAAACGAATCGGATCATAATCCAGTAAATATCACAGGCTAGCAATGACATCGTTTAGGACTGGGGTAATGGTAATAAGTGATGGTAATGGAATGTAATCTTATATTTTTCATGTAATCATTACATTTTTCATGTAATCATTACATTTTTCATGTAATCATTACATTGTTCATGTAATCATTACATTTTTCATGTAATCATTACATTGTTCATGTAATCATTACATTGTTCATGTAATCATTACATTGTTCATGTAATCATTACATTGTTCATGTAATCATTACATTTTTCATGTAACCATTACATTTTTTTTTCGTGTAACCATTACATTTTTTCATGTAATCGTTACATTTTTTTATGTAATCGTTACATTTTTTTTATGTAATCGTTACATTTGTTTATGTAATCGGTATATTTGTTTATGTTCATGTAATCATTACATTTTTCATGTAACCATTACATTTTTTTTTCGTGTAACCATTACATTTTTTCATGTAATCGTTACATTTTTTTATGTAATCGTTACATTTTTTTTATGTAATCGTTACATTTGTTTATGTAATCGGTATATTTGTTTATGTTATCATTACAATTTGTATGTAATCATTACAATTTGTATGTAATCATTACAATTTGTATGTAATCATTACAATATGTATGTAATCATTATATTTTGTATGTTATCATTACATTTTGTATGTTAGCATTACATTTTTAATTTCTATGAAAAATGTTTTTTATTTATATACACATAAAGTAATGGACATGGTAATTAATTACTTTCAATGTAATGGGTAATGGTAATTAATTACATTGCTAAAAATGAGAAAGTAATTGTAATTGTAATGATTATAGTTAAAAAGTAATAGTAACGTAATTAATCATCTAAATTTGATTATGGTCTGGATAAGTTAATTAATGTCTAATTAATAATTTAGATAACATTTCAGGCCTAAAGAAAGACCTGCAATAGGCAGATTTACCTCTTGCATAATGGTAATGAATTACATTGCTAAAAATGAGAAAGTAATTGTAATTTTAATGATTATAGTTAAAAAGTAATGGTAATGTAATTAATCATCTAGAGTTGATTATGGTCTAAATAAGTTCATTAATGTCTAATTAATAATTTAGATAACATATCAAGGCCTAAAGAAGGACCTGCAATAGGCAGATTTACCTCTTGCATAATGTATGTTTAATTAACACCTCTCTAGAAAACGCACTGTCGCCCACTTTTTCATCGCCCGCTAGCGTTAAATAATTCACCACTCAGTCAATTTCTCACCCTTGTTAATTAACACACCTTATTTATCCGGATATTGATAATTTGTAATTCAGAATTTGAATTTTGTATCATAAAACTAAGCCTACAAACACCACAGACCAAGATTTATACACCCAGAAAACACCACACTTAGTTCTATAGGGTGTTCAGAAGGTTTTCAGCAAAAGGGGGTAATGGAACAAATGAGTAGATAGTGATCAAGGGCAAATATTTATTTGGGTGATACCTACAATAAACTGTTATCTATAGTGAACAGGGTAATACTTACTATGAACATGTGTTGTAATCATCAACTTACAATGTTCTATAGCCATATTATCTGTAGTCAGTAAATTTGATCAATAAGAATGTTATCAACTTACAATGTACTATAACCATCAGATGTTTAGATCGATGAGAATTGGGTATCTCTGTATTTGTAGCCTGACAGGTGTAATTACCAGCTTGTTGTCTGTTGTTCAGTGAGAGAAGACCATTATTAGATGATATTATACTACCACTAGTATCATCTCCTTCATACCAGGTGATATTACATGGTGGATTACAGTCAGCTGAACAGGTTACAGATCCACTTTCATTTTCTATCACTATTATACTAGAACCAGTTGATTTAAAGCTAATATTCTCTGGTCCATCTGTTAAATTACAAAAAATAACTTTAAACTTCACATACCTACTGGACATAATTCAGTCTACTTATAATAAACAATAGATATATATATAACAGGCGTCATGCATGGTTTAAGGTTTCATAATTGATTGATATTTTGTACCAGTTTTGGGTCAGTTGGATATAATTTATGATTTGAATATTATTGAGGTCAAGCTACATATACAAATATTACCACTATGATCCATCACATTATTTTAACTGAACTCGCACTCACTCAACTAGGCACTTAAATTTAGATTACATTTATTTATACATGGGCTGCTTGAGGAAACACCATTAAATGAATTCCAAAATATAAAACCGCTTGGTCCTTCAATAAGTAACAAGTCTAAAGTGGTTCTTCGATCTTTAATTACTGGAATTTATGACAAATAATAACAATACAATACTATGTACAGCATCGTGTCTGGAGGATGAAGACTAAGTTGGATGACCTGATAAATTGCTCATCGACTGAAGAACTAGCTAATGTTTTGCAGATAATGTACATTAGCCATTTATATACTAACTATTAAATAACGTTGACAACATAACATATACAATACAGGATTATAACCAAAGACATGATATAAACAGTGATGTTTACAGGATACAATCAATTGATATAACCATCGAATACAACATATCGGACGGCCGTTTACACAATACAATCATTCTATGCATTATATGGCAAAATGACGCCAAACGGAGTTGTGTCTCCTGCATCATTTGATCGGTCTAAGTAAACGAATAATATGGTGTCGTTTGAAGAGGAATGCTTAAAAAGGTAGTTTTAATGCCTCGAATTCCACAAAAGTGTATATTCCCTATACAAAATTGTCATATGCCCCAATTCAGTGGCTAATAGGTTAAAATCCAGAAGAAGCGTATTCTTTAATAAAATTAGCAGGAATTCTGGTTGCCAAATCAGATACGACATCATATACAGTATGAAGTCGTCTAATATAATTTAATTGGCTATTGCTTAAGTCCGTTGGGTGAGGCGAGAATAGAACTGGTCCGATCCATACAACAAGTTTTCCATCCAACCATTTGTATTTGTGTCCGTACAGAGCTATCTTATTGTAGAAAATAGTGTATGTTAGTTAATTGTAAATCGTCATCTGAGTTCCTCAAGGTTCTTATGTTGGTCCGATATTGTCAGAAAATATGGTCTTAATTTTCATTCTATCGAATTACAAAAATACGTAATTTTGTAGGAAAATTACTGGCCAAATTTTGCATGCCGTATGGGAATGAGGTGAATCTGTTTTTTTTTTATCACGTACGGATTTGGCGTGAATTTGAATTTGAAGCAAGTGCGGGTCGGTATGCTTTCATTCTATCGTATCGAGAAAAAGCCTAATTTTTTATTACTGACTTAAATTTAAATACTGTACGGGAATTAAATATGAAAAATAGCGCGGTACACCTATGTTTTTTACATACGGATTTGAATATTTTGTTGACACATGATTTTTAATTGTGGTCTGAATCCGTCTGCTTCTGTAACGATAAGCTGGTTAGTCAACTTTATTTTAGTTAAAAATATCGGACAAGAACAATTTTGAAATAGAAACCCCGATTTGAATGCAGATGATTCCAGGGATCCAGAGGAGGAGTTTGTGGGATACAACCACACCTACGCCCCTGTCAAAGTGACCTATGGTTACCCCAGATACACGTTAAAGTGATGATGGGCCCTTTACATGTATCTCTCAAAAAGATGAAATGACCCAGGATTTAAAAAAAAAGTTACATTGTCTTAGGAGTTTGCCCCTACCCCCCCCCCTGCAAAAAATTCCTGGATCCGCCCCTGCATACTCGATGATATATTTCTTTTATACCTAATTGTCCATCTTCTTTCAATTTATCAAAACTGCAACTTAAGAACTGTATTATTGAAATTAAAAAATGAATGTCAAATCACTTTCTAAAATATTTTTTCAGGCTCGGAAATAACCATGATTCAAATTAATTTCAATAATCGTCTTGGGCGTAGGAGTCTTTAGCTGTGAGATGAATACGGAGGACCCGGAGAAAACCGTACTGTCAGTGCTCTTTTAGTTTTCAAGATCTTGCTTTATGGAATAATTTACCTTTTAATTTAAGATGTTGTACCTCTCTATATTCTTGTAAAAAACAACTAAACACTTGACTTATTTAAACAAGCTTTTAACTGACTCTGACATGTCAATAGTTTGGGTGTTTTATTGTAGTTATGACAATAGACTTTCGGACGAAATGACCTGCCTGATGGGTTGATCAGATGTGATTGGTACGACAGCCCAATCATCTGTCTGATGGGTTGATCAGATGTGATTGGTTGTTACATATAAACATGCTTTAATGTACAAGTATATCTCCTTACTATCTAATGATATCTGGTGGTTGTATCATACAAACATGTATATCTCCTGACTGGCTCATTAATTACTATCTAATGATGTCTGGTCAGACATTTTCGCCATTGTTAGCAGACAGCGGTAAATATTTTAAAAATGAAATTTTGTCATCTTTTCCTCTGTTTAGTTGTACTGGCTAAACAAAGTTTTAAATATTTAAATGTCAGTAAAATCAACTTACAATAAACAGGAAGAGTTACAGTTGGACTGGTGCCAGTGTTAAAGCTATCTCCACAGGTCCAGTCACCAGCATCAGTCTTGTTAACATTAGTTATATTAAGATACAGTTGTCTGTTGTTACCATTCATACAACCACATGTATATCTGGTATCAGTTGGAGGACCAGGATCACAATTCAATGTTTGTCTACAGACTGGGCCATTGTCTCCTTTAAACAGGATAATATCAGTGGTTATAAAAGTATCACCAACTAACTGACATGTAAATGTATAATCCTCTCCTCTAATAAAATATGGTGCTGATCCTGATAAACTGTATGTTTGACCTGTAACAGAAGTAAGAGACATGTAAATCTATAATCTTCTCCTCTAATACCATATGATGCTGATCCTGATAAACTGTATGTTTGACCTGTAACAGAAGTAAGAGACATGTAAATGTATAATTCCCTCCTCTAATACCATATGGTGCTGATCCTGATAAACTGTATTTTTGACCTGTAACAGAAGTAAGAGACATGTAAATCTATAATCCCCTCCTCTAATAACATATGATGCTGATCCTGATAAACTGTATGTTTGACCTGTAACAGAAGTAAGAGACATGTAAATCTATAATCATCTCCTCTAATACCATATGATGCTGATCCTGATAAACTGTATTTTTGACCTGTAACAGAAGTAAGAGACATGTAAATCTATAATTCCCTCCTCTAATACCATATGGTGCTGATCCTGATAAACTGTATGTTTGACCTGTAACAGAAGTAAGAGACATGTAAATCTATGAGCCCTCCTCTAATAATATATGGTGGTGATCCTGATAAATTGTATGTCTGTCCTGTAACAGACGAAAGAAATGAAATGAAATGGGGTTTAACGTCCTACTGTTCTGCGCCTACCGGTATAATAAAGACGGGCATACGTCATACAGTGTGCAATGAGGGAATTTGTTCTCGGACAGCAGTGCTATGGCCTAGTCTTATATCGAATTCCAACTGCCAAGGGATCTTTTACGTGCTCGCCAATGTGTACACGGGACCTCGTGTATTTGTCTCATCTAAACGACTATAAGTTGTCCCCTGTCACCTTGTCAAGCCCCAGTGGTCAATTGACAAGGTCGAACCGCACTGGAACACCCAGAGGAACTTTCCCAGTCGAACACGTGACCCCCAGGTCAGCGAGCCAACATCTTACTCAACGAGTCACGGACATACGCGAATGGAATGTGAGCATTATAAATACACACTATTATTAACTCGTCATTGATAAGATTCCTATATAACAAAAACATTTTATGGTTTTACTACCAGACATTCATCAATACGCGTTACAATCCCCGGTTGAGAAATATGTATATAACTCTATAACACCAAACATGAGATTATGTGGCTTCTATCATGAAACTCTTAGATTTTATTTCATTTCAAAAACCGTTCAATTATATCACCGTTACATCACAATCATGTTTGAGTTCGAATTTTGTGAAAACTAGACCATCAAGTTCCGTCAAAATGGTCGCTCCCCTTTCCGCAAATAGTGTAAAAGCATGTAATGGAACGAAAATAATTAATTCGTTTAAACGAAAATAATAAATTCGTTTAAACGAAAATAATTAATTCGTTTAAACCAAAATAATTAATTCTTTTAAACCAAAATAATTAATTCCTTTAAACGAAAATAATTAATTCGTTTAAACGAAAATAATTAATTCGTTTAAACGAAAAAAATTAATTCGTTTAAACAAAAACAATTAATTCGTTAGAGGCCATATCGTTTGTTTGATTTAGATGAATCTTGACATATATGAAAATAATTAATTGGTTTAAACGAAAATAATTAATTGGTTTAAACGAAAATAATTAATTCGTCTAAATGAAAAAAATTACTTCGTTTAAACGAAGATAATTAATTGACCTAATTTGTGTCGAGTAAGACAAGGAGTAGGGTCGCCTGTCAAACCTCGTGTTTTTTCTCCGGTTTCCTCCAACGCCATAGTCATTAGTACTAGGCTTAGTACGAACTCCTATGTTATTTATCTTACAAGTCCCTGTGGTCAGTTAACCACGTGATGTTGTGTTCTTCCGGTTCTCTCTGTATTATTACCGCCATTAAATAGTCTTGTATTGTTTGTCGCTGTTTGTGTAATTAATCCAATCCGGTGATTATTCACCGACTGTCGTGGTGGCTAGAGTTGGATCAGACTCCATTCTTCTAAAGGTATTAACTTTTCGTAAAGGAAAACATACTACATTTTCCCGGAAAAGGTAAATTTGTCTTTTGACAGCAAACGGGCGTACTTGATTCGTACGATAGATAACAATTTGCGTGTGGTTAAATCACGCATTTTTAGGACTTAATTTGGTGGTAAATAATATACTGGTGCCATGGCCTCATCAACATTAAGAGCCCCTAAACAACGAGTACTTACCAAAACAGAAACTGTTACGTCATTTGAGTCATGGAAACAAAATTTGACTTACATTTTGTCCCTTGATGAAAATTTTGCGCCATATCTACGTGACGATTGTGTATGGCAAAAGAAAGGACGAGATAACCCAGACAGGGGTTTCACAGACGACGAGGGTGCAAATGGCAAAACAGCAAGACAAAAAGTTGTGCTCTTAGAATTAATGCTTGGTCAGATAGCCAATTACTGTCCTGTAATAGCCCGTGGAACCATAGTGAAACATTCTGTCAGCATTACCTGCGTGTGGCAAGCCATTCGGGCTCATTTTGGCTTCCAAAACAACGGTGCTCAGTTTTTGGATTTTACTGACTTTAAATTAGAATTGGAAGAACGACCTGAGGATTTATATCAGAGAATTGTGGCGTTTATTGAGGACAATCTACTTGTGGATGGGTGCGGTCTAAAACATCACGGTGACAGCATTGTCGAAGAAGAAATTACGCCATCCCTTGAAAACATAATTGTTATAACTTGGCTACGCTTAGTCAATCCTGGTTTACCTAAGTTAGTTAAGCAAAAATATGCAACTCAATTACGTTCTGTTACACTTGCGTCGTTGAAACAGGATATTTCTCAATCGTTACCATCATTGTTAGACGAACTCGAAGTTAGTGAAGAGGTACGCTGTATGAGAATGGGCAGTTACGGTAGCGGTAAGCCTGTGCGTAATAAACCTTCCGGTAATTTGCTTGCACGTCACAGAAAATCGTGTCCATTGTGTCTTCAATCTAAAAGACCTGCTTCAGATCACTTCCTTAGTTTATGTCCGTATCTGCCGGAATCTGATAGGAAGTTTATGTCCCGCGCACGTCAAATTCTTGTTGATGACGAAGATGACACTTCCGTATCTAATGTTCCGATACACTGTGATGCTATCCAAGTTCTACCAACTTCGTCACGTCGAGTTCAAGTCAACCAGTCTCCGTATATGGATACATTTTATAACGAGCATTGCGTTCGCATCACCATCGACTCAGGCGCTGAAACCAATATGATCAGTCTACGTTTAACACTATTCCTAGGACTTACCATTCGTAAAAATTCTCAACATGCAACTCAGGCTGACGGGAAAACTCTACTCGATGTTAGGGGTGAAGTTCACTTTAATCTCGCTCGAGACGACCACATTCTTACTCTGAGTGCCTTGGTTGTTGAATCGCTAGACGTCGATTTATTGGGTGGAACACCATTTATGTCATTGAATGACATATCAATTCGTCCTTCTAAATATCAAGTTGTTATCGGCGACACTGACACTTACTCTTATGGTACTACTCCCAATTCACAGGACACCACCGCTCGCTCTACTCATCCATCGATTCTTCGTGCCAGTGTTCTAACTACCTTATGGCCTGGCCAGTTTATCGAGGTCACTGTACCTGATAACATCAAAGACACTCAAGATCTAGCTTTGGAACCGAGACCAGATCTTTTTCATACCGATAGCGATGCCACTATAGAATGGCCAACACCTGCGCTCGTTCACAGTGTTGGAGGAAAAGTTCGCATACCTAATAATACTAATTTCCCTATTACCGTACGCCGCAATAGCCACTTTTCCCACATTTTGCCTACCTGTACTCCTGCTAAAAACGACACCGGCGGATCATCAGCTGGAAAGCTGCCCTCCAACAATGGACCTCGTACATACTCCCAAGCTGTTCAGCTAGATCCCGATAATCTACTTCCCGAATCCACACGGCATCGATTTCAGGAATTACTACATACTTACGATGACGTTTTTCACCCTGAACCAAGAGGATACAATGGCGCATTTGGACCTTTTTCCGCTACTGTTAATATGGGACCGGTTTTACCTCCACAACGAAAGGGTCGCATTCCCCAGTATTCCAAAGACAAACTTGACGAGTTGCAACACAAATTCGACGAGTTGGAGCTATGTGGTGTATTCAAGCGCCCCGAGGATGTTAATGTTGTAGCAGAATATTTAAATCCCTCTTTCCTCGTCAAAAAACCGAACGGCTCTTATAGACTCGTCACAGCTTTTGCTGAAGTGGGCCAGTATGCTAAGCCACAGCCTTCACTAATGCCAGATATAGACTCGACACTGCGATCTATTGCTAGATGGAAATACATCATCGTTACCGACTTGTCGAACGCCTTTTACCAGATTCCGCTATCCTCAGAGTCCATGAAGTATTGTGGGGTTGTTACCCCCTTTAAGGGAGTTCGTGTGTATACTCGTTGTGCCATGGGTATGCCAGGGTCGGAGACTGCTCTCGAAGAGCTCATGTGCCGTGTGCTCGGTGACCTGATTCAAGATGGGTTTGTCGCTAAAATTGCTGACGACCTTTACTGTGGTGGAAACTCTCACGAGGAACTCATCTCAAATTGGCAAAAAGTTCTCACAGCCTTACAAAAAGCCCAACTTAGTTTGAAAGCTTCGAAAACTGTAATTGCTCCTCATAAAACTGTAATACTTGGCTGGATTTGGTGCCAAGGTACGTTAAGTGCTAGTCCTCACAAACTTGCTACTTTATCGACATGTCAACGTCCTGAAACTGTCCGCGACCTACGAGCCTTTATTGGTGCTTACAAGTTCCTGGCCAGAGTACTACCTCAATGTTCTAAATACCTTACCCCGTTTGACTCTATGGTAGGAGGTGCCACATCAAAAGATAAATTGGCATGGACTGATGATACTATTCGCGCGTTTCAGGTAGCTCAGGACTATTTGCGCAGTGCTAAAGTCATCGACTTACCCATACCATCTGATCAGCTATGGATTGTCACTGATGGTGCGGTTAAAGATCATGGTTTAGCGTCCACGCTTTAT